TATAAAGAATTCTTACAACTCAATAATAAAAAGACAAAAATCCAATTTAAAAAATAGGCAAAGGATTTGAATAGACACGTCTCCAACAAAGATAGATAGGGGGTCAAGGGGCACATGAAAAGATGCTCAACATTGTTCATCATTAGTGAAATGCAAATCAAAACCACATCAAAACAATGAGATACCACAACACACCCCCTAGGATGGCTACAATAAAAAAGGAGAGATAATAACAAATGTTGGTGAGGATGTGGAGAAATTGGAACCCTCATACACTGCTGGTGGGAATGCAAAATGGTGCAGCCACTTTGGAAAACAGCCTGATAGTTCCTCAAAAGTTTAACAGAGAGTTACCATATGACCCAGCAATTCCACTCCACGTATGTTTCCAAGAGAAATGAAAACACATGTCCACCAAAACTCACACATAAGTGTTCAAAGCAGCATTAGTCATAATATTCAAAAAGTGGGAAGAAACAAATGTCCATCAACTAATGAACGGATAAATAAAATGCAGTATATCCATACAAGGGAATGTTATTTGGAAATAAAAAGAATGAAGTACTGATTCATGCTAAAACCTTGAAAATATTATGCTGAGTGGAAGAGGCCAGCCACAAAGACAACATACTATGTTATTCCACTTGTATGAAATACCCTGAATAGGCAAATCTGTAGAGACAGGATGCAGTTCAGCGGTTGCCAGGGGTGGTGGAGGGACGAAATGGCAGTGACTGCTAATGTACTAATGGGTATGGGGTTTCTTTTTGGGGTGATAAAATGTCTAAAATGGATTGTGGTGATGGTTGCACAACTCTGTGAATAGACTAAAGCCACTGAACTGTATGTACACTTTAAATTGATGAATTGTATGGTATGTGCATTAAATCTTGATAAAGCTGTTATATTTTTTAAAAGTAAATATGCTTAGTATATTTAAAATCTAATCTCCTTCCTTCCTTCTGTCCATCTGTCAAAGTTAAAAGCATCGGATAGAATATGTTTATTCCATTAAATCAAGTATAATTATACCATTGGTTGGGTGATAAGAAAGGATAGCAGCCAAAAGTGAAAAGTTTGTTTAATTTGAGGACCTGCAGATAAAGAGAGAGAATGTCTCAGGTGTAAGCATGTCTCCTTAATGACATTTATTCTTTTTTTCATTCAACCCATATTTATGGGGCATTTATTAAACATTTGAGGCACAGAACTAGGTGCTATTTTATGATCTCAAAGCAACATCTGAGTATATTTTTCATAGCATCTACCTGAGACCACGTTTCAAATGTTTTATAACCAGTCTGCCAAGGCTAGCCCCTCCCTTCCTTGTAGCAAGTAGTTTACAAGAGCTGACTTTGGTCTATCACAAATTGCTTGAAAAAATTAAACACGCATTCACATTTGGAAATCTCTTGATATTTACGGAAATGCAAAACACTTTGTTGGAAAATTCATAAAAGAGCTGGGTGTCTTGACCAAAGCGTTTGTCTGATATCACTGTTGGGAATCTCGGACCCACAAGGACTGGGGTGTGGAGAAGCCAGGCTGGTCCGTTTGAGTTCCTCTCTCCATCAGTGGGCTTACACATCTGCTCTGGTTTAAGGAGGGCTGGGCGCTTGACCCAGCTGCACTCAGTGGCCGAGGCCAGCCTAAGGGTCCCTGGAGAAACTGGCAGATTATGAAATTGCTATCGGGAGGCTCAGGTCTTCCAAGGTCAAATCGGAACCCATCTCTCCTCAGAGCAAACCCGAACCTTAGGCCGTGTGACTTAAAAGTGTTGTCTGAGGCCCCATCCCAGATCCTCTGAACTTGTACCTCTGGAAGTGGGCCAAATGATGTTGACAATCTTAGAAACTTGCAAACTACAGTAGCCCCCCTTATCCATGGGGGGTACATTCCAGGACCTCCAGGGGACGCCTGAAACCGTAGAGAGTACCAAACCCTATATATACTATGTTTTTTCCTATACACATACTTATGGTAAAGTTTAATTTATAAATTGGGCACAGTGAAGATTAACAACAATAACTAATAATAAAATAGAACAATTATAACAATATACTCTAATAAAAGTTACCGTAGATCTTAGCAACCTCAGCACAGGATTTTTTTCTTTCCATCTTAAGTCAAGAATGTTCAGCTTTTCACTTAAAGGAATCACTTTACGGCTTCTCTTTGGCATATCCGGATTGCCAGCATCACTGCTCCTGCGCTTTGGGGCCATTATTAAGGAAAATAAGGATTACTTGAACACAAGCACTGCAATACTGGCATAGCGATCTGATAACTGAGACGGCTACTCAGTGACTATACACGGATACAATGTGGATCCGCTGGACAAAGGGATGACTCATATCCCGAGCACGATGGAGTGGGATGGCTGGGGATTTCATCACACTACTCAGAATGGCACACAATTTAAAACTTATGCATTGTTATTTCTGGAATTTTCCATTTAATATTATTGGACCTTGTTTGACTGTGGGCAACTGAAACCACGGAAAGTGACCCCGTGGATGAGGTGGGGACTACTGTCCTGCCTATGACGGAACTCAGATCTGATGTGGATTTCCAAGATCTCTTTAAAAGTAAAGAGTTGGGACTTTATAATTCAGGACTTTTGGAGACTAGAAAGCATTCCCTGGGCCTCTTCTAATTTACGCTTGAGTCTTCAGAACTGAATTGATTTGAGTTCTGGAGATCGGGCATACAGGCAGGGAAGGTAGCCATTCACCTCATCTCCAATTTAAGGATCATTCCTTTCATTTACCTTCAGTATCTGCAGGTCAGTCCCATTATGTTCTTTCTGGAATTAGCAGTGGAGTAGTAAAATAATCCAGGAGAAAAGGTATCTATATATATTCCTAGCAGATTTTACTCCGATGGAACAAAACACATCTAGAGGAAGGAGAATTTTTCTGGGGAAAAGAATGTAACTTTAAAACAAAAACCAAAGAAAAATATTTCAGCCAGATAATTAAGCCACTAAAATGTGTGCATTATTTTAGGCAAAAACTTTTTTCACCATTCAGTGTTTGCATTTTCTTTGTTATTTACTAATGTTCTTGATTGCAAAAGTGTCTTATTCTTGTTAATCTATTTGAGATTCTTTATTGAGTATCTACACTTTGTCAGACAAATATCTGAAATTTTCTTATGTAACTCGAAGATTTTTAAGGATGAGTGAGGGGGAAATGGTGGAACAGAGCAAGAAAGACAAATGCAGGGCTGTGTACATGTGTGTACCCTGCTTGATTTTGATGACCCACTTTAATTGAATCCCTTGCATATCTTTTAGGGATCCTTCTTCACAAGGCAGGAAGGTGGGCTCCACTGAACTCATTAGAACACGTCATTTAAGGAGAAAGGAGCCTTTAACAATAGATGTCTGTTTCAGCAACCCCACCAGTGTTCTGAAGGCGCTCATTTGCTTTCAACCAGATAACAAAGGCTGGATTGCCTTCTTCCCAATTGATTCAATGGTTTGCTGGCACTTTTAAAACATATTATATAAATCCTAAGAAATCTTTTGTGAAGAGAAATGCAATGTTTTTAAGCAGCAATCCTTTGCTCTCATGATGCAAGGCACAGAGACTGCTCCCCGCCTTCTTGAGTCAGAGCCGGTACCCATTTTCAAGGTAAACACCGCATCAGGGCTTCATGGTCCTGAGGAGACCTGATGTGCTGTCTTTTCCTGACAAAAGTCTCTTTTGCAGATGTGCCTCACGGAGCGCGAACTCATCTTTAATGCAACGCAGTGATATGGAATAGATATATAAGTACCGTATCCACACATCTCATCATTTAAAATTCAGTTATCCGTTGTTTTACGACAAGATGTCCTACAGCAAACTAAGATGACTAAACTAAAAACATTTCAACTCGGGCTCAACGGCTCTTCTCAGGGATTCTCAAGAACATAAGTCTCTGAGGTGACACTCTGACCACACTGTGTCCTAATCGAAAGACGAGTTGGTTAGTGACTGGGATTCGGCTCCATCATTTTCTCTCCATTCCCTGTTCCCCTCCCCGCTACCATTTTTCCCTGGAATTCTGGGTCATTCAAGGATTCACATGGCTGTTGCTGTTAAACAAGCATTGCTCCAGGACACTGGTGCATAAAACTTAGGCTTAATGCATCACTATTCCAGGCAACGAGCTGAGATTTCTGCAAGTAAGTCCACACTCTCCTTAGTAAGACATCCCTTTCCCAGCCTGTAATGATAGGTCCAGTATTGCTCTGCATGGGGACCAAAGAGTGGAGGTCTCTGAGCGAGCCTCCACACAGCAGATGGGCAGGCAGGCAAGCCACCCATCCATCCACAATATGCAGGACCTACTACGTGCAAGGCTTCCTACTGTGATACATGTGATAAGTCTCACAGAAGCCCATATCTGTTGTAAGCTTTTCTGCTCCTCAAGGCAAGGGAGAAATTTTTATGCACTGAAGACTTTGGGAGGGAACTTTCTTTCCCTTATCTTTCTTTCTTTTATATTTCCTATCTTTCTTTTATATTTTTTTCACCTTATCCTATGAGTTCTCTGATCTGTGGTGGTTTTGACTGACTGGTGACCCCAGCTAAGATACACTTTTTCTGGGACTTTGTAGGTGATGAAAAAACTCCATGAGCTAGGTTAGAAAAAGATGGCAGCTATTGCTTTCATGTGGACCTCCTTTTTCTGGGATGGAAGGAACAGTACAGGATTGTGGCCATAGACCCCAAGGATGGCTCCCAGGTTTAGACACAGCACAGACAAGGGCCTGCTTTGTGCAAGACAGGACAGAGAGGGCCCCAGGGCTGCTGTGCAACAGCCACTCAAAGTCTGTTTGCTGCAGGGGCAGGCCCCTACTCAGACGGTTCATCTGAGTAACGACGTGAAAAGAAAGAGGAAAATGACATACAGTCAAACAAATGAGAAGCTAGGATTTTCCTTACCTCCAGAAAAAACACATTTTGAGTTTTGATTTTTTTTTTTTTAAGAAATAAGACTTTTATGTATAGAATCATCCAAGGATAATATATTTACAATTTGTATGGTCTTGATTGTGTTAATGAAGCTATTATTCAAACAGAAAATGGAAACCAGCCCACCATGGAGGCACACAGGGCTGAGTGTTCTGGGACAACAACAGGAGCAGCTATGCAAACAGGAACAGGAGGATCAAGGCCACTGCACAGCTGCCTGGCAGGACAGACGGAGCCGAGCTGGCCTGGTCCTTCAGCATACACACCACCCTGGACCAGGACCCGTTGTTGGGCAGGGGGGCGATGCCTGTCACGTGGCACATGACATTGTAGACATCCACGGATCTGATCGGAGCAGCTCTGAAGTTGGATTTGAAATCTGAAAGACAAAGACAAGCCAACAAGCTGTCACAGTCACTCCCCTGGGAGAGACGGCTGAGTTCCCATACGGACGAATTATTCTCAGGCTCTAGGCAGCCTTGCGATTGGAAAATCAGCTCTGTCAGCGGGGTGTGGCCAATTGGTTGTGAACGTGGAAGAGTATCTGGAGGGCTACAGGTTTTGAAGGGGAAGTAGCTTTCTGTGGCTTATGGAGATAAATTTCTTTGAAAGCAAACAGACTCTCTTTGTGCATAACTGTGCCCCGTTTGTGACACCAGAGCTTTCCTGGAGGGGCAGAAGGGCCACCTGAAGCTGCTCATTTCTGCAGGGCACTGCAGAGAGCAAGTGTGGTCAGTTTGACTGTCTTGCTGGGCTCCCCCAAACCCTATTAAACAGTATGCTTATCTTCCAGAACACCTCTCTAACAGGGACTGGTTAGCCAGGGTACCTCACAACTCAAGACTGTTTCTCCATTTTCCTGCTACATTGAAGGCCCAGGACTTGATGGAATGTGAAACTGCATGGTTTCTTTGCTGCTGGCTAATTTGGCAGTTAAGAGCAATGGTTTCCCAAATACATTTGGAAGATCGATTGAACATTCCTTGGGAGCCTTTCACTGGCAGATAAAATAACTTAGCTGTGCGGAAAATACGTGAACTGGTATTGGAGTTAGAGAGCCGAGTGAAGGCTCTGAGATGTCTAATGGAGAAGAGTATTGTTCTTCTCCTCGAGGCTGCACCAGACTCCAGCGGTCACACAGGATGTAAAGGGTGGGCTGACCACTCACAGCCCAGGAAGTAAGGGCGCTGAGGGAGGGATTTCAATCCAGATGCGCCTTCTCCTCTATGGAGACAAAGAAGATGCTGAATGCAAAGCGCTTGTCCATTTCAAGAGTTAATGTAAGAGTTTAGTAACATACATAACCAGCTTTACTTTCAGGCCCCAAAGCAGAGCTTCCAACACGATATTCAAAGCTGCCTTCAGGTTTAATTGAGGAAGGAGCCATTATCCATCAATAAAGGCCTGAGCACGTGCTGTTAGTCCATCTAAGACTCTCAAAGGAAATGGGTGGTTTGGGGGCTGTAAAGCCAAGTTTTCTCTCTCAGAAAATAATCTTTATAATTGCTTTGTTAAAATGATCACACATACTTTATCTAAAAAGCAAACAAACACCACCAGCAACATAGTCCAGAAGTGCCAACGCCAAATTCTGCTCTTGTATTAACCCTAAAATTACAAATACGAGATGAAGTTATATACAGAAAACTCCTCCACTTGGGGAGTGTGCTAGATCTGGGGCAACTCCCCAAGGGATGGGTTTTGCTCCCGTTGGAGAATTAAAGTTGAATTCAGTCTAAGAGGCTCATGGGCTGCAGCCACTGACTAGCTGGGTAACCTCAGGAAACGGGCATGGAGACGGTACCCAAGTCAGAGTTCCAGGCACACTCAATAAATGGTAGCTGTTATCGTTAAAAATACGTAGGATAAATGCCCAGCAAGGGAAAACTATGGATTACAAATATTCACCCTATAAATTAGATGTAGGGTATACTCTACTTTTGGGGCAGGGAGGATAAGGGTCAGCATCACCTTAAGGTAAAAACTAGCTTAAAAAAATCCAGGACCTCCCTGGAGAGAAGGCAGGGTCTGCCCCAGAATGCTAGCCTTTCTTTATATCAAGGCAAATTTTACAACTAGATGAGGATGCTGGTTATACTGCCCTGGAGAGTCAGCTGCAGCCTGAGAAGTCAATGGAAAGGTTGCCCCAGTGGTATGGAGGCAACGTCTCTCCCTCCTTGTGATGTGCCATGGACCTGGATGTGAGAATCATCCTGGCCCATCACATGGTGGCCATGTCGTTGTCACGTGTGTGGAAGGGAGGGAGGATGAGTGGGCTGGCAGACAATAGTAAATCCAAGATATCTTTCCCCAGCCTTTCAAATATCTATTCTTTAACACTTGGCAGGAAAAATCGAAATGAAGCTCTACTGATAAAAATGTTAGAGAAGATGATCTTTTTACGTTCAAAGTACAAAATCCAATCCTGTGCACGTAAACAGGAAGGAGAATCGGGTTTTCTTTCACATTCCATCTTGTTGATGGCTTCCTATTCTGCAGGGCTGGGACTCTGGGCCCAAAGCAGAGATGACCCAGGCTGGAATGAGAGCTCCTATAAAATTCCTGAATAGCAAAACAATACCTGATCCAATTTGGGAGGACCCAGCCAAGCTCTGCCAGCTTCTGATGGCATTTTGAACCTGGATTGGGAATCCAAGTTATTCCCTTGGGTTTACATCTTCTGGATATTAAAACCATTTCTCCTAAAGAGAGAAGGGTCTGCAGGCCCCCGCGGAGCCTGGCCACCTTGGGCTGCTTTCCGAGTGAGGCTTGCTAGCTCGCAGGCAGCTCACTGAATTGCATTCCTGCTGTCTTATCTTGAATGTGGAGTTCTCCAGGGCACGATTAGGTTGTTCAAATTAGAAACTGGGATTAACCAAAGAGAGGTTATCTTCCAGAATTATTTCCCTTTCTCTTAGCTGGACCAGACCTACTGACTTCTCAAGCTGTATCTGAACGGCCGCAACGATGGCCAGCTTCCTCCCGAAGCGAGCAGTACATACAATTAATCAGGCAGGATGCACCTTTATCTCAAAGTGCAGCTAGATAGCTATTAAAGGCCTCGCTCTTAAATTTTCTTCTGAGTAAACAGTCAGCGTGTAAAGCTGTTCAATCTTTCATGAGAGTTGGAGCCAGAAACGTGATGGCTTTTGGGAGACTCCTGAGGCTGTATCTGCCTGGAAACATTTTTGCAATTAGCCCAGGCCATTTTCATCAGGGGTCGTCTTTCTGTCTATAAAAGACTCAGGCTTTTAGTTTTAAAGGAGCATGCAATGGATGCCTTTGTTAATGGACAAAATCTCCTCACAGAATTTCACTCTAAGCTAATGCAGCTTTGCGTACTTTGTTTAAAAATGTTGGTTTGAGGATAGATTTGCTTCTGCTTGAAAATATGCCTGAGACTCTTGCCCATGAACTTTACTCCTTCAGCTGACAACTGTTTTGCATTCACGGTCTTATTGCTCTCTTCTGGGGAAGGAGGAGGCGATGCTTTTGAATGAAAGCCCTGCCGTCTAAGGTTCTCTAAGGCCTATAAAGGCCACGGCCCTGGAGAGTCTCCAGCCTAATCTAGCAGTTGACCCCAGCAAAGACCTCAGGGCTCCATCCCTAGCTCATTTCCTTTTTGAGCCCTGCAGATCTAACCCAGGGCTTGACTAACAGGGAGCACCTGATAACTATTAGTGGTTGGTGGCAACATGTTCTGGCATCCTCTGACCTGTCTTAGGCCAATGCTGTGCACTCAGTTATTGCTCTGTAAGTGTCTGCTGCTACCGGTTCTGATGCGTACTTCAGGACTTGGAAACTCAGATCCCATGCGGACAAGGATTTGGACCCATGCGTTCCCTAAGCTCAGGCTCCTGGAGGCACCCACGGAAGGTGCAGAAACTGACACCTCGTAGTTCTCAGCAGCTATTTTGTGGTAAGTAGAGTGACTGAGAGCAGATGGAATGAGGTGAGTTGACATATATCTTTGTCTTGTCACATCGAGGAGAACAGCAGGGCTTCTAGGTGTGATCTCTAACCTATCATTTGAACAGAAAGTGTGGACTTTATGGGCTGAAACATTTTGATCAGCATCCAGAAAACAGCATTCGGAATATGGCTATCAGGGTAAACTTAGTATATTTAATAAGGAGAGTGGACAGTAGTAAGAAAGAAGTGTAGTTCATGAGCCAGTCCACTGACAGTTGCTGGCTGTTGAATGCTTTCACCCTATTTTTTTTTTTTTTTTTTGAAAGAATGGGATGTTTAGGTAGTAGTATGATCTTCAGAGGGTTTGATGAAGTTTTCCAAAATGTGAATTTACGGTGCTCTACAAATTACAGAAAATGACCAATAGACCTTCTCCCTCCATTCTTGCTTCCAGCCCCAGGAATTTAGCTAGTCGAGGAGGTCACAGTAAATTTGCTTTCAGCCAAGACTTCCCTAGTCGTTCTGGCTCATTCTCAAAGTCAGTCTCAAGGTCATTTCCTAGCCTGCCCTTGAGCACATCCTAGCTTCTGGTTGGGCACTAACCCGAACGACCCCCACAGGGGCTCCACTGTGGAAGAGTCAGACCCCGTGAAGCCATCACGTCAACTTTGAGACTCACAGCTGTCAGCAACCTGGTGTCTGATAAGCTTTCCTGGACCTCAGATAGCTGTGAAATAGCATTTTGATGAATTAAGTAAAAAAATGAATCACAAACATGTGGAATGCATTTTCTTCACTGCACTCAAGATTTAAAATTTATAAGCAAAAGTATTTGGCCACATTTGCCAAATCCAAGAAGCATTTGAAAGCAAGCCAGCAGAAGATGTGTCATGGAGACCAGCTGGGTTCGCTCAGCTTTGCTCATAAAGAGGGTCCATAAAGAAATCACTCTAACATCTGCCAGCGCTGTTAGCCTCTACTGGAGATACTTCCTTGGGAACGAATGACTAAGAGAATTTGGTCATTTCTTGCCTACCAGGTCCAAAGGCCAGGAAGACACCCCTCATGTCCATGAGTTCGTTGTCATATCCGTGCCATCCATGCTGCCAGCCTTCCCTCTTGCCAGTGCTGTTCATCCAAAATGGAAGCATCTCTCGATTCTGAAAGCAAGCAAGGCAATTACATTCCATTGTGTCCTTACAATCGTGATGAGTGAGCATCTGATCCAAACTGCCACCCAACTTGGGGATTTCCTTCTCAGCACTCTTGACTGGGGTTGTCCAACCTCAGCTGGATCACTTCCTACTCCAGGTAGCTCAGACCTTTGGAGGCAGCCCATAAAGTTGCCAAAGAGCTCTAGTTATGAAGGTATTTTCTTACACTGGGCTGAATGTAATCAGTTTTAGAGGCACTAAATATAGCATGTTAGAGACAGATGGATGTCGAGGTGTATCTGCGGTATAACAAAAATATATTTGGCCTTTGTCTTGGGTTCCTGGCCCAGAGCTCCTGAGACCCTTAGAATTTCCTGAGTGATAGGAGTGGTTTTTGTGATTCGTACCTGAGTTTATGCTAATGAGACAACTCATAGGGGTGGGGGGCTTAGATAGCTTCAGGATGGGGGCTGATCACCAGAGGAACCAACCATATGATGAGAAGGTTAGCTTTCAGCCCCGTTCTCTGATCCCTAAGACTGAGTTCAATCAGGTGGCCAATGATTTAATCACCCATGCCTACAGAACGCAACCCCAGATGAAAACCCTGGGACAACAGTGTTCAGGGAGTTCTGGATGAATGGACATGCTGGTGTGCTGGGAGAGTGGTGTGCCCAAAGAGAGCACGGATGCTCTGCCCTGATACCCCTCACTCTCTATACCTTTTCCTGTGCATGCATCTCTTCCAGTTGGCTGTTCCTGAGTTGTATCCTTTATAATAAAACTGTAATCGTAATAGCTCCTTTCTGAGTTCTGTGATTCATTCCAGTGAATTATTGGAACTGAAGGGGGGTTGTGAGAACACTCAAATTTGTAGCCAAAATGGACACGAGTGTGGGTGGCCTGGGGACCCAGGACTTGTGGCTGGTGTCTGAGGAGGGGGCAGTCTTGTGGGATTGAGCTCCTTAACGTGTGAGAGCTCCCTAACTCCTGATAGTTAGTGTCAGAAGTGAAGTGAATTATAGGGCACCCAGTTGCTGTCGGAGAATTCTTGTTGGAAAACACAGCATCTAATCTAATGACTTCCATCTTCTAGCAAAGCCATTGAAGCCTACAGGTGGTCCACTCACTACCATGCCAGTGCCCTTTCCACCACCCGTACAGCCCCATCTTTCCTCTCTTCTAGCTCCACCCTAGAGTGACTCAATAAATTAGTCCCCTCCTCTCCATGTAGCCAAACATTTGAAGATGGCACTCATGTTCCTCTTATCTAGGCCTTGAATATCTTCATTTCCTTCAACCATTCCTCATTCAGAATGGCTTCCAGAACCATCAGTCCTGTCACCCGTCTTTCCTTCAGAACTGAGTTTTCTTAGACTGCAGAAGCTTGCTTGTGAGACAAAAGGCTTAAAGAAGGTTTTGTGAATCCTGAAGAGGCTGTAGCCAGTTGCTCCTTCATTGTAGATCAACCACTCATTCCTAATAGTCCAATCATCTTCTTGCTGAGTGGGGTTTAATATTACAGATATTTCAAATGCAGGAGGTCATGATAAATGAGTGAAATCAAAACAACTAAAATACCAGCAATTTACAGGTTGGCTCACAAGACCTGTAAGAGTATCATGTATTTCATGTGCCACATGGTTCACCAAGAGCCGACCCTGACATCCACTTAATGCTTGCCACATCCCAGTGTGGACGATATTATTCTCCCCACTTTGTAGCTGAAGGAACTAGGGCACAGAGAGGTTAAGTGACACTCTTAAAGTCACACAGCTGTAGAGAGGCAGGGCTGGGATTGGAACCCAGGTCATGTGTCTCCTGGCCCTTGTTCATCTTCCACTACCCCACAACAAGAGGTCACTGCAGTGCTCCTGCAGGAACTGGACAGTGAGGTGTCCGCCTGTCCCTTGGCTCTCCGCTCATTGACTGTGGTCAGTTACAGACTACAGAGAAGAGATTTCGGGATTGCATTGGCCTGGAGTTAAATTCCAGGTCACCACTCTCTGACTCTGTGATCCTAGGCGAGTTATATAACTTCTCTGAGCTTCGATTTCCAGGCTGGATGATGATAATCCCTGTCTTGCAGAGTTTTTGGAGGAACAACAGGACTGTGTGCTAAGTGCCCGCCACACGATACCTGTTCAAGGAAGGGCTGTGGGATGGTCACCAGATGCCTGGCCATGGGGCGAGGCTCTCTGAGCACATGCAGCGGTGGTGTGAGCCTTCGAGGGGTGAGGGGTGAACTCGTCGTTGCTTATGTAGCTGTCGTATCGCATTGCACACCCATCCAGCCTCGCCCCATAAATTGCTCCCTGGCCTTATGCTCCCCACATCGCAGGGTGCCTGCGTTTCCTTCATCCCTTGTTCCTCCTTCTCCCGCTTTAGCTTGTATTTTTCTACGGGAATGTTTGCATGAACAGATTGCATTTCGAGCTTGTTGTGCTGGTTTTTGTTCTTTGTCTGTCTGTGGTGACGATCACAACACATCCCAGCTTAGCTTCGTCGGCTAATTGAGCGTGTTGCTTCCCCTCTCATGGTCAACACGGCCGTGATTCCTGAAGCACCAGGTAGAACATTTTGTTACTAACGACTTCGCTAATTCCGAACCCCACGGAACACACATGTACCCCGTGACAAAGGGACAGGTGAAGGGGAGACGAAGACTGATTACCTAATTAAAAATTCTACTCTGAATTCCACAAACACACACGCATCTGGGAACATCTCAGCCCGGAAGGCAATCAGAGATCTGTCTGATCGTTGGGAAATCCACTCGTTTCATTAAAGTGACAAGTTGCTCCAGAGAAACAACTGTTTGTACCGATTTTAAGAAGTAATAACAAACTGGCTGGTTCTGGGGAGCTAACCGTTTGGTCTAAGGGATTGAGTGGATCGCGTTACATCCACCGCCGTAACTTCAGAAGGGCGCGTGGACAGTTCCTCTTTTGCCTTCCTGTGTCTGCGTTCTGTACCCAAGTTATATTCCCGAGCGCATACACAGGAGGCCATGCTGAGGAGGTGGGGGCCACAGACCTCTCAGCCTCCGGAGCAGGAATCCCCTGGCTGCTGATCGTCAAGCTACTCCTTAAGGAGCATGACCCCATCCTGACTCTACCAGGCCCAGGGACTGCCACATAGTGCCACCTAGTGACATCCTGGGGAGGTGCCCAGATCCTCCAGATTTTGATTTTGCCAAAGGTGAGAGAGAGGGTAGAGGAGTGTGTGTGCGTGCGTGTGTCTGTGTGTGTGTGTGTGTGTGTGTATGAGTAAAGGAGGAAGGGCAGCGCTAAGTTTGGGTCACTAAGAAAGCCAGCACATTGTAGGGCAGGCAGCCAATTCCCAGGGGTTGCAGAAAACACCTGGTCCTTCAGCAGCATGTAGCAGAAGGGCCGGATGAGGGCCCTGCTGGAACGGGCTGGTTCCCCACTAATAAACAGGTGAGGGAGGGGACCCACTCGGAGAAGGCAGTGAAGGAGTAGGGTGTCCTTGGTGAGAGGAGCCCCAGGCGAGGGTGGGGCCCTCCCTGCCAGCACAGGGAGAAGGCAATAATGTAAAAGGCTATTTATTCAATTCAACAAACATGCACTGAGCTCTGAACCGGCCAGGCACTCTGCTAGGCTTTTGGGTGGGGGTACAGCTGGGGAGCACAGTCTGTTCTTAACAGAGGTCATCTTTAGTGAGGAAAGAAGAGGAGTTACAGCTTCTGTGTATTGATCCCTGAGCAAGCAGGACCAGGAGCGGTTGCCCTGAGCCTGAGGTGAGGTGGGGGGGAGCACTGGGGTGGCCTTTGACCTGAGAGGAAGCAGGAGGAGCCATATGGTGAGAATCACTGTCAGTGGACGGGGCTGTGTGTGTGTGTGTGTGTGTGAGTGTGTGTGTGTGTGGATGTGGATGGATGTGTGTTGCAGTGGGGAACCACTATGAGGGGGTCGCACAGGAGTCTCTAACAAAGAAGGTGGGCAGGTACCGAGGTCCCCCAGCAACAGGACCCTTGGGAGCTCTGATGGAGGGGAAGGTGTGACACAGAGAAGGCCCCGAGAGGCAAGGGGGGCTTGTGTAACTTCACATGGGAAGAGCATCAGAATAAAGCTGCCCTCAGAGTGAGGCCATCGGAAGGAGTGAGGAGGTGAGAGGAATTGAGAATTCTCTACTCTCAGCGCCTACCTGAGGGAGTGCCAATCAAACAAGGTGACCAGCTGTCCCAGTTTGCCCGGGATGGAGGAAGTCCCAGGGATACAAGACTTCTGGTTTTGAAACCAAACAGCCCTATGCAAACTGGGACAAGTGGGTCTCTCCAGTTGAGTACTCTCTTGGAAGTTTAAATAAAATCCTTACCGAGTATAATTTGTTCAGCACATTCCAGAGCCTTCCGGGAGCCCTCCATGTATCGTGGGTGGATAGAAGTGCCAGGACCCTCCTGATGAGCCACTACACTCGTTAATCGTTTCTAACGGGAAGGAACCAGCAAAAGCTTCATGCAAGGAAACACTGTGAGCAATGGCTGAGTTATTGTGTTTATAGACTTGTGTTCTATTTCGGCGCCTGCACTATATTTTGATGCCTGCTCCCCACTACAAGCTCACCATGAAAATGCCTACCGTAGGCTTGCTTGAATATGGACAGCCAGGGGAATATTTATGACATGAAAGTTACAGTTTCTAGACTAGGTGTTTTTCTCAGTCATCCTTTCTGTTAAAAAAAGAAGTCACATTTCACCGTTTATCCCCAAATCAGAAAAACAGTTAAGGAAGTTTAAGACTTGCCTGGGTGCATCTTTTTGGGTTTTTTTTTTTGAGGAGGATTAGCTCTGAGCTAATATCTGCTGCCAATCCTCCTCTTTTTGCTGAGGAAGACTGGCCCTGAGCTAACATCCGTGCCTATCTTCCTCTACTTTATATGCGGGACACCTGCCACAGCATGGCTTGACAAGCGGTGCAACGTCTGCACCCAGGATCCAAACCGGCGAACCCCAGGCCACCGAAGTAGAGTGTGCAAACTTAACCACTGCACTGCCAGGCCTGCCCCTGGATGCCTCATTTTGAATTCTC